AGACAACCCCGTAACAATATGCGTTTTGTACTGCTGTTACACAGCACAAAACGCATAAAAAAAACTCTTGCTTATAATGTCACTGGACTTGGTCAATTTCGTTAAAAAAAAAATCGAGCTAATATCATTACACCACAAGTTCCATCTTAAAATATATTTATCATATGCCGAAGAAATGGCCTATGTTCTGCTGATTCCTTGGTAACAGTGATTCGCAATTTTCTGCTTATAAAAGCTAATAGTCTGAAATGCACATCAAAGAGGTAAGCTTGTCCTTTTTGATGGGACAGAATGTTTGGAAATTTTTCATTCATTCAGTGGCATCGAAGCTCGCTCTTAGGAAGCGATGCATTCCACAGAAACCACTTTTTTTCTTCCCAGAGCACTCGAATTACACATTTTCGCATGCATTGCTCAGTGATTTGAAAAAAAAAATCATTAGAAGACCAATCGCAAATCAAATTTTCCCGTCATTTTTGTTTCAACCGCAGTTCTTATTGGCGATAACTGTTGCTAGTGCGCTTGGCTCGCTAGCGCGTTCGCAGTTGCGAGCATAGTGTATTATGAGTGGTTTAGGCGAAGCAGCAGCAAGAAAACTCACAGTATCCCACCACAGGATGTCGATATCCATATCAACGGAACCATTGACGTGCTGGCTTGCATACAGATTGACGAAATCACAGAAATGATGATACATGCTCGATGCGGCATCTAATTTGATCAGCACTGTTGGCTTCTCAAAAATCACATCACACTGCCGCTTGGAGACCTCAAAAGTCGGATAAGACGAAAAATGTTCTAATTCATGTGCCCTGAAAATGACAAGAACATTAATTTTCCTTCTTTTTCTGAGCAAAAGTTGTACTGAGAAAGAGCGGCGTGAAGAGTTCGATGGATGAATACACGCCAACTGTGAAATGATCGTTCAGAGTAACACGGAGATCTATTATTAGTTGGTTAGTAATAAACCTCGTCATCACCTAGAAAATACGAGAAAGCAGACACATCGAGCGATGATTTTTCAAATCATCCTTATCACCCGTTCCGCATGGAAAAACGTTTTCAACTTTCTTCCTCTATTGGGAACCCTTATTTTATCCAAGCAACAATACCTTATCACTTTCCTCTTAAGAATGGCTGTGACATAAGAAGCGGCTAGCACCGTAAAATAGCAAAGTGCCATTTTACGGTGCTAGCCGCTTCTTGTGTCACAGCCATTCTTTGCTAGCACATTACTTACCAGCTTTGTAGATAACTTTTTTCGTCAGCTCTGCTGCGCAGTGCTGCTTCATTGAACAGCATATTACAGTTACCACCCGCTTGACCTTTCTGGATTACATCATTACGATATCTGCAATCTTACCACATTTCACTAGCACATAATCAACAGAAAGTCGGGTTAAGACAAAGATAACAAGAAGCGATATGCGCGCATTCCTTTCAACCTACTGCCGGTCCTCGCAACCATTCTTGCTTGCTTGAAAATGTGAATGTATATTCACTATTGCTGGGAAAACTCGTACGAATTTCAGGATCTGTTGGCTCAAAGGTAAGCAGATGGTCAGCTCTTTGGAACTGCCCACTCATCTCTCGTCCTTCAACATTCATAATGAAAAATCCGAATTTGGTGGAGAAGCAAAATCCCAGTTGTTGGAACAACTAAAAAGAACTTGATGAAAAAGCGCATAGGGCAGACGAGGAGAAGGACTTAGTTATTTAAAGGAATTCCAAAATGAAGCCTCCTCTAAAAAATGTCATTCGAGGGCTTTAGAATTGTAAGTATATCAGAATCGATGCACAATTATAGTCTCCGCGCAAATTGCCAAGACAAAAGACAGATAGAAAGCGAGCGAGTAGAAAAACAAACTGGCGTTTCGGATGTTACTAGGGAAAAATACATGTGTAAGAAGCCTGATGAGTTCTGTATATGAATGAAAATTCAATAGAGATATTATGATTTACAAAACAAAAAAAAAAATTTGTTAAAAAAACACAGATGAACAGGCATGTTTTCTATTTAGCATCAGAATTGGACCTCGTTAGTATGACGGTTATGGTTCTGATAAAATACCTTTGAATCAGTACAGCCTAATCACAGTTAGTTTATAGCGTTAACTGGCGATTAACTGTAAGACGAAAAGAAGTGAGAATGCTAACCGCTTCGAGTTTTTTGCGTTTAAATTGTGGAAATCAAAAAAGATATTTTTTGCACGACAAAACCTCAAATGACTGGAACATTCCAGCGAGCTGCCTTCCTGCAAAAACAATAATGAAGCCCTACTATGTTACTGAAGAAATGTGCCAGGAGAGTGCAGCTCACATCCAGACAGATGATGCTTAGAACAAAATACGTTACACACTACCTCTATACAAGCACTCTGGCCAAAGGACTACACCTACGTGGTAGTCACAAATAAGCCTCAAAAAAACAGCCCGACCGAATCACGCTCGTTCAGGACAGACTTCTCAAATTTAGGCACGACCTTATACTTTTACTTATGTGATAAATGACAATACAGGGAGAGTAGAAATTCGATTTTAAGCTTTCGGTTAAAAAACGGGGTGGAAAAATTGAAGTTTCTCAATCTTCACGTTTTCAGGCTGTTCACAAAAACAAACACTTTTACATTGTTTGCAAAAAAAAAACATTTAAAACGGAGTGAAAGTGCAAGGCATACAGAATAATTTGAAACGCAAATTGGT